AATTTATTCAATTATAGTTTTTAAAATGAAAAGTTTCTCTAAACTGTAATAAATAAGTCATAAACTTTCAAAGTATTGCAGTTGCCAAATTCTTATAACGTCGGGAATGCAAAAATAATCAGAAAGTTTTATTCTGGAACTTTAGCAATCAAATAAGCATTGAAAATGATTAAACTGATATCAGCTATTTGTAAATGGACAATGGAAAGGAGCGAAATCCACTTGGTCAAGGCAGTGAAGACGAATAATTGCAAGAAATTCATTGAATTTGGGCACTGTTACTGATCTAAACCACTATTAGTTTATTATTCCGAGTGTTATCATTTTTTAATTTCATCTTTAGTAATCACTTATTTCAAAAATGAACTTATAAGTATTTTGAAGTTATTTTACATTTGAGCAAATTAACGTGAATTCAAATACAACTATCAATTGCAAATTATGCTTATTTGGAATTTACTGAGTTGAATTAAATTTTTGCTCTTGATAATGCCTTTAAGGATACGAAATCAAACTTTTAAAATTTCACTAAATTTCTATTTTAACTATAATTTTCTTCATATCCTACTTATGATTACATCACTTGTATTCAGCTCTTCATATATCCTCAGATATTATTAATAAATTTATAAAACAAAAAATGCAGAAAAATACTTTATTCGTGACTTTTTTTTTTCAAATAAAATAATAATATTTAGTAAGCAATGCTTTTATAAAATTGTGAGTAATAATGGAGTTAATAGAAGTAATGATTTTGGCATAAAGTGAACGTTTATTGTGCAGTTTTTACTTATTATTACAGTTCATGATCATTTGAAGAAGTGATAATGAGTTTTTTTTATGCAACTGAATCTAGCAGATATTTTTTTCATAGCTATTGTCTCCAAAACTCGTGCTCACTTTTTATCAGCTTACAGTCAGCTTATTCTATGGTGTAAAAAAATAAATTTACAAATGATATATATGCAGTTTAGTAATTTTTGAAGTAATAAACTATATCTCATATAATTTTTATCTATTTTTCGATTCTTATCGATATTTTTTAAGAATTTATCACTGCAACATATATGAATCAAAATGCTAGTCAATTTTTCGGAAATGACAAGCGTCTACGTAAACGTGTAAAAAAGCTAATCTTTACACAAATTTTACTTATATGAAATATGCCTTGTATTAGTTGCTGTTAACTTAAGCACGAGAAAATTACTCATGTGTAAGTACTCATCAATGCTAGCGTAATCATTTCTTGAGCTATTAATCAGAACTTCAAGTATGCTTAGGATCTGGATTAAAGAAACAACAACGGTGGCTTTACTCCTATGATTTTTGCTTTATTAGACTTTATAATTGGATTTGTACGCTAAAATCATATGCAGTTACAATTATGAAATGGCTAATTCTTTCAAAACTGATATGATTAATTTTTTTTAACGTCTAAATAAGTTGTAACTATAATTTAACAATCCATCTCATTCTTTTTTAACTAATAAGGTTTATCTTTTTTTATCATTTATGGACTGTTTTTCAAAATATTGTACGCATATGAATCAAAATGGTAGAAGAATTTCTTGAGACTTATTTTTGTCTCCTTCCTCTTCCAAAGCTACTTTACAACTTTAACTTTAATTAGAATTTAATAATAATTGTGCATGCATAAGGTACATGATTTTAAAAGTTACATGTTATATATATATAATGTTATACATGATGTTTTAAGGTATGAGTAAAATTATGACTACTTTTTTATTAGTCATAATTATTTACGTGTTCATTACTGGTAGAAATGATTTGGCAAGCAGTATTTTCTCGATCATTTATTTCCTGCTAGGCCCTCCCTGTTTATGCTTAGCACTCAAATCAGTAATTTTCAAATGCATGCATAAGCAAGTCTTCAACATGCTACGCTGACCTTTAACCTTTCTCTCCGCCCTTAGCATTACTTACTAAGAAGGAAGAAAGTTAACTTCTCATTGTCCATGAAGGCTTTGAAGTGGACTTCATTTCTGTCCCATTCATCTGGCACTACTAACATCCGTTCTTTGCCACTCGCGAAAAAAATAAACTACTTGTCATCTCAATGATTATTGCTATTACTAATTTGTCTTTCATTTTTTGCATTGATTATTATTCTTACTTTTTCAATTTTAAAATAGCTTACATATAATATTATCATTATTTAATATATACATGCAGATATATGTGTTACATTTTCACTCATTGTATACATGCATGCACACACACGCACACACACGCGCACACACGCGTACACATACTTGCATACTTATCAAATTTCATTGTCTATGAAAGATAATCACTAATTATAATATTGCTTATAGCTTACAACAATGTCTCAAGAAAGTGAACACTTGATTAGTGATCAAAAAGCTTCGAACGAATATCATAAAAGTCATGAAGTTAGTTCATTCTCACATATTGTTACTTCAATTTAGTAATTTACTTCTAAAATTTCATTCCACTTTAATGTACAATTGCTAATATCAATTATTTAGTATTTATGTAAGCTTTATGATAATTTCTTTGCAATATTTGCTAATATTATTTATGTAAAGCAAAAAATAATTGCGTTGTTATTATTGTCTAGAAAATATTAAATATTATAAATGAAAGGCCAAGTTCTATCGTCAAAACATTTATTGCAAGTAAAGTAAAATTAAAATGAAATGAAGCATAATATTTTTTTTAATCGTATGTTGCTGTCGAAAAAATATTTATTAACAACATATAGAAGAAAACATATTTATATGGCTAATCAGAATGATCCATTTTAGGGAACAAAGTCTGAAATTAGTTCCGAAGATGCAAAAGCCAATGAAGCAGCAAAAATTATACAAAATGCATATCGGTAAGTAGATGAAAAAATTATGAATATAATTATTCAAATTTTATTCAGTTAATGATGCACGATTCTTTTCTTTTTTGGTTCATTAAAACACTTATCATTTTCAAGACTTTAATGTTTTTTTTTTTCAAAAATGTATGATTGCAAAGTTTTAAAGGTTATTTTTTATTAGTAAGAGTTTTATTGAATACATTAGTTAATTGCTTACGATATTATTTTTATATTTATTAATACATTTTAGTTTTCTTCATTTTTTAATAACATAATTTTTATTTTTAGCCCTTATTCATAAAAACTGATTAAAGATTGCATGAAATATATATGAGCGAAAATTGATTTATAATCATAAGTCATTTTTAAATATTATTATGAGGATCGCTGAGTATGCATTGCTGAAATGCCCTTTTCATTTTGGTTAAAATCTTTAATTTCCTTCATATTTAACACTTCCTGCTTTAGAAATAAAAATAATAAAGTCATGAAATTTTCAGAAAACATCACGAGCATCAAGAGGAAATTCATGAGCATCATAAGCAAGAAGTCACAGATTCACCATAAAAAAATAACTTCCAGAAATCTTGCATATTTTTTGAATTGTATTATCTATCTGAATTATTTTAACCTTCGAAACAGAAATACTTTTGCTAATGCATATGTATGATCTGAGTTAATTAAGAGACATTAAGAGAATTAAAATTTATCTTCTAAAACTAACTATCAGTTCCAACAAAATATTTTTCAAGTATTACTTGTAAAATATATCTAAATACTATCTAAAATAAAATCCACGGTTGTTTACAAAATTTATTTATTTTTAATTGAAACACTGCTATCATCATCACTATTATTGCTTTGAAAATCATAATAAACAGACAAGATATGCAATTTTTTGTTCATAATTACAAATTTCCCACAACATATTCTAAGCAACCAAAATATTACTGTTTTATAGTACACTTTTATACAACTAACAGTTTAAATCTTACATTTTTAAAATTGCATCAATTAGTCATTATTGTGAGTACCAATTTAAAAAATGTCTTTACTGTACTCTTATATCATTAGTGGCTTTTCATAGACATATTATTTTTAATATCAGCAATATATTGCTACTACATCGCAATTACAATCAAAACATAATCTTACTTAAAAGCATACTTTCAAATTTTGATTTTACAAAAGACTTTTAAAATTCTCAAATTTGCTACAGTAAAAAACATCTTCAACTTTTCCTTACACTTGATTATTTTCAGCACAATGCATAGACTAAAAACTTTGCAAATTCATGGATGAAGCACTACTTATAAAATCCACACTTATTTTTTTACTACCAAGAATTCAGGTCATTTATCGAACTTTTTTGAATGTATGAACTATGCTTGCTAGAATAAATAGAGTGAAACTTAAACATTCATCTATAATTTGTGAATTCATACAACTGTGGCATATCGAATCTTTTATAGCTTGATAACTTCATTTTGGTGGGGTTTTATCTTCAAATATTAATTCTTTGAGACATACAATATGCAAGGCAAGCCTTATAGCATATAATAGTATTACTTATTAATAAATAATCCATCTGGGTAGTGTTCGTCTTTTAACATAATTTATCTAATAATGTATAGCAAAACAAATGCATAACTTGATGCAATGCATAAAAAAAGAAATCAATTTTAAGATTTATTTCAAAAAATTGAAGCAAATTAAGGCAATAAAAATTAAAATTAACAAAATCGCGTAGATAATTTGTAATGACTAAAGTAAAAGTAATCATTACATAAATGTGAATTATAAAAATTAAAATGTTCAAAATTATTCTGAAAGGTCAAACTTAATAGTAAAGAATGTGCTATGAATGCAATGTATTTGATAGTTTTCAAAGCTTACAAAAATGCTTCAAAAAATTTTTATCTTTTCTTAACGAAAATAAATAAAATATTACTTGCATAATTTTTGCCTGCACTTATTCAACAAACTTTGATGATTTGTATAATAATTTAATTGCTTTTTTTTTTATTTCAAAAACTATTACTTAGAAGTTAATGAAATGTTTGTCAGAGGAATTAATGCAAAAAATTGTCAATAAAAAGTTTTCGTTCAAATTTATTTTCACTAAAAATGATGATGATAATGATGCTTATTAATCTGAAATAGTATCACATTTGTTCAAATGTTTATTATAATGAATTTTTTGGATAAAAATGACACCTAAAAGCAGTGCAAATAGCAAAATAAAGATTGCAGTTTGTAAAAGTATTCCATTTCGCGGTACCCTACATGCCATACGTACTACCCCTTGACTCATGCCATCACGTTCCAATACTGTTAGCTGAAAAAATTTTTGAGATATTACAAGTTTGCATTACAAATGCAGTTTTTTTGTATTCTCATTTTATTTAGATTCAATGTATGTATAATGAGACAGCAAGTAAATTTGTCACATATTACACCACATACTGATTTTATAATTATTGATATCATTTTATTAAATTTAAATTGCTTTATTCTTAACGTGAAGGAAGACTTTATAAATAAAATTGCTTAAAATCGTTGCGTAAAAAGTATATTCACTCAAAGGTTTGTGTTTGATCAAAAATATATTAACAAAAGAGTTTTTTTTTTTTTTCAAGTTTTACATAAGCACACTTTATGAATTGCCACTCAATTTCAAAATTTTAAGCTTTTAGCATTCTTGCTTCAGTGTGTAAAAATAAATCATGACTTAGAATAATAACTGGTATTATAAAGCACATTATCAGATCTGTATTTATTCATGCAAGCAATATATTTTAGATTTTATGATTAAAATGAAGTGATCGGAGATTTATAGAAACAACCTGATTAGCATTAACATCCAGTGTGAGAAGGTAATTATTATTGGACTTAGCCATTTGTTTAGAATATTTTGGAAGTTGTAGATCATAAGGTGTATGATTAGATCGATTAAAGGAGCGTTTTCGTTTGTAACCTATTTGTTCGTGATCTGGCACTGCAGTGACATCAGTAATCGTGCTTATATCAGCAATATTTTCAGAATGATTACTTTTTGGATTATTTTCATCCGAAATAGTGTAGCCACTAGGCTCAATAACTTTTCCACTTGAATTACCTTAATTAGGAAATCATCAAAATTATTAAATGCTTTTAAAAAAGTTGTCAAAAAATCACTATTATATGATATTAGCCCCAATACTAAAGAAAGTAATACCAAAGCATCAAATATTAGCTAATTCAGTTAGTGATTAGTGTTTAGGCAGTGTAGCCATTAGGACGTAAAAATATTAATTTTACCATTGTCTATTGTGCCTTGTTCAAATTCATTGATATTTGGTGCAAGAGATGAAATAAACATATGACCTGCCGTTTGACCAAATAACTCATCAATTTCTGGAACCATTGCACTTGGCTGTACTTCTGAGATATCTGGTACTGTTTCAATGCTCGAGACAGGTATTGTTTTACAGTTAGGTGGCTGAGATAGATATTATTTTATAATTCGATCGTAAAATTACTTTCTTAGAGCACTTGACAGTTTTTGTAAGTTTTTTCCTAGATTTGGATTAGGAAAAGTTAATTGCACATTGGTATAGTTAATGATATTCAATAATGAAAAATCGAAAAAAAAATTGGTCAAGTATTCACTTCTTGATGAAAAAAAGCAAGATTTTCTAGTTAATTTCAAATCATAACTTGAACTGTAAATATAATATAATTAATGAAATTCAAGAAATATGTATATAATAAGCGTTTCTGTGTCATATCTTCATCAGCTTGTTTTAAAAAAAACAACAATTATTAATTAATTTTTTGCTTCTGTTTGAGAAAAAAAATTAATTATACATTTGAATTGAGCCAATTATTTGTCAAAAATTAAAATATTTTTTTGTGAATGATTTATTTATTATAGATTCAAATATATTACCGTTATGCCTTCACAACCATTTTTATGCTTTGAGCAAAGAGTTACTTTGCAATAGAATTGTATGTTAGGCTGATTTGTAAATTTGAAAGCTGGTACAGTTGAGTATGCGACAGTAAGCTTTTCATTATAGACTAATGGTTGCATGAGAGTATGGTCTGTAATGCATCTGAAAATATTTTTGCTACAATTCATTCAGTAACTTCATTTGATGAAAATTGCTAATTTTATGTATTAGCAAAAGGCATTCTGCTGAAGTGAACAAAATATTTAACAAAATGAATCAAAAGATGGAAAAAATTTCTGCATGCTTCATTAATATATTATTTGGTCAATAGTGATTTGGAGTTTTTATTCATAAGATTAAAACTAAACTTTTAATCAAAACCAAAATTTTACTGTGCAAAAAGATTATCATTTTTCAAAGTTATGCTTTCAGCATTCGATGCAAAACAAAACCTTTATGGCTTGAAAAAAAATATGTACGTTTTTAAAATAAATTTAATAAAAATAAAACTAAAAATTATGTCAATTTGGTGATAAATGTAAAAAAACTGAATATTGAATTTAGGTTTTTCTTTGAATTAGTAATAATTAATAAATGTGAACAGTGATAATGTTCAAAAACTTACCCTCGATCATTAATTAGCTTGAAAGTGGTACCACCAGGCTCATGAACGAGACAAGAATGAACTAACATACCATATTCTTCTGAAATATAGTGTTTTTTAGTTTCATCAAAGCAGATCAAGTATTGCAATCTCTTATTTTACAAAAAAACTGAACTGAATGTAATGAAATTATTTTGGAGACAAATGTGTGAAAAAAGAAGAAAATTATAATGCGAATATTACTGTGAAAATAAAAACAAAATTAAGACTCTGAGTTGCTAAAATTCATTACATCCTTCAATATTTGATCAAAATATTAAAATATTCTACAATTGTTAAAGATTGAATTTAATTGCATATATTTATTTCAAATACTTTTTTTGATTAAAATTTCCATCTTTGGTTTTAAAAAAATGATATTTGAGTCTTTCTCTGAAAAAAAGATAATCAGTGACATGTTTATTTTATTCTTTGAATTATCCATAATGAAGTTAGTAACCTGATGCACAGCTCCATTTATGAATCAGTTGATCACCAATATTTGCATATTTTACTGCTTCACCGTCGATTGAATTTTTTAGCACATCATAAGCGCAATTTATCAACAAGCCACTTGTTAATCCTGTTGGTGTCAGACCACTAATCAAAAAGCATAGAGATTAATTTAATGGAGACTTCAAATTCAAGTTTACTTTTCGCATTAAAAGTGCTTAGATAATTCAGATTATCTTACAAATCTTGGTAAGTGATCTTTTTACAATTATTTATTTTTTTTAAAAACTGCAGCTGATTTTAATTTAGGCTGAAGTTGCTTTCATTAAAACGTTATGAAGTTAGAGTAAACGACTTGATTTCATTTTTGGTAAATTGGTCTGAAATTAGGATTTTCCATACCTAATTTCCATATTTTGGACTAAATTTCCAAAACTTTCTTGATAAAAGCAATTAGCACTATATGCTTTGTCAGCTTGAGTGAGAAATAAATAATGATGCTGCACAACGACAATCACATGATAATTTATGCCTGGTGGTTTCTTCTGCAAGATTGTTTTGTAACATTCAAGCATTTGGCCTTAAGCTTCTAATTTCTTAAAGGCTAGTTTTATACACACAAAATTCAATTTCACATAGCATATAGTAATACAGAAATATTTGCTATTTCAGTGTTTTCATTAAAAGTTACATCTATTTTTTATACCCATAAGCAAGTAAATTCAGTTTTAGGATCAATTTCTGCTGTAAAATTAGAAATAATATTTTCTAGTCAGTCTTTTTAATACATCTGCAGATCAGACTATTTTTCATACATACGTACAGTTAATAAAGTGAAACCTGTTTTTCACGTTGCACATTGCAAGAACTTCGATATGAAACATGAAAATAAAAAGGGCTGTAAAGTGGATTTCTTGTATAATCTAAATGGCAAATTCTACTCATGAAAAAGCCTTTTACATAAATATGACCATAAAATGGCTTTTCGGGATGAAAATGTAGTCTCAAGCCATCGGTTAAGCATTCCTGAAGTTTAGACAAAACAAGAAAATTATTTATAAAATTGAAGTTATATTTTTATATGCTATGTGTAAAAACATTCAATGCTTGAAAAGCTAAAACTATTTATATCTAAATATATTCAGATCCTATATTAAGAAACAGTGAATGTTTAGTACTGAGTTAAATGATCTAATCTAATTTTAAAGCAACTTTAATGTGTTAAATTTTTTTAAAAATTTTGTGAAAGTAAAATAAGACTCAGAATTAGCGTATTAATACATGTATGTCATAGATGAGTTGTTAATGTGTTATATCAAATTTATTTATATCATAACTTCAAACAATAAAGTAATAATTTTTGCAAAACATAAGTAATCTTTTTATATATGAAAATAATAGCTAAAAATTGAATAAAATACTATTAATTACCAAAGTTGGTTGTTGTTCTAGTGCAGATACATGCTGCAGTATAAATGTAGCACCAGTTATAATTGTTAATAAAGAGGTGAAGAAGTAAGTAAAAATGGAAAGTAAAGGGAAAGAATACTTGCGCATTGCTGGTATAATTGTAACAGACAAATCCACGAAATGATAACTACTAATAGAAATGCGCAGAATATTATACTTGTAACTAATACTCTTTGCTATTAATGCTTTGATTAAATTTTTAACTCCACCTATGCTTGTTCATGATTTATTCAGTTGTAAAGATTAAAAAGTAGCAGTGTGATATGGATGTCACTATTCCGTTTACGGTCTAATTTTTCAATCCTTTTTCTCTTTCCCATCCTTTATTAATCAGCGGTTGTTCAGCTTAGGTGACATATATACATTAATGAGGTCCCAGTTGCAGTATTTGAAAAACTTATCAATTCTGATAATCTCATGTATACAAAATTTGCATTTGGAAAATAGATATGTCAGCAACATTTACATATACTATTTTTAATTATAGTAGCTAATAACTTTTCTGGTATGATTTGCTGAGCTGAATTTTATAGATATATGCATGATAAGTCTTATTAAGTAAAACGATTTTGTTCAAAATATTTCAATTCTAAATCTATTCATCATGACAAATAATTAATTTTTTATATTCATTCCTTTTCTTTTATCAATACCAATTTTTCATAGCTCTGAAAATCAAACAGTAAACTTAACCTCAAATAATAAAGTTTATTTCAGCAATAGTTTGTATAGCAGTCATAAATCAAAATATCCTGCTTGCTACAAATCAGATTGCCTAAATGTAGAGGCAATTTCAAATTATTTAAATGAATCTCAACAACATTAATTAATTAATTACTCGAAAATTAAAAGACTATTTCCAACTTCTAAAACTTGCCATATTTGAAGACAGAATGCTCTTAATATTATTACATTTCCACAACCAGCAATTTCAAATTTAACATAATTGATTTGCAACTAATTTTTCGTGCTTTATTCAGAATACAAAAGTGAAATCTAAAGGAATGACTTCTCATACAATGATGCTAACAAAAATGCTTTCAAACAATTTTTATTCACGTACAAATCATCCTCTATCTTTATTTTACCACAAAATCTCACTATTTCTATTTTTTCTCAATCTCTACTGAAATATTCATTGCTATCATCTTTTTTAATGTCTCCAATCTGTGCTGTTATGTTTTTTCGTCTCTCTTCTCACCTTCTTTGTATTAATGCACTCTTTTGTGCTTTTGTAATCTTTTCTTCTCTTCACAGCACTAATGTTCTCTTTCTTCATGAGTCGTCTCTTTCAGAGTTTAGTTTAGAATCTTCAACTCATCGTCTTTTCACTCTTACTTTCCTCTTTTCTTTATTTTTTACTGTTTCTTTCTCTTTCTTTTTTTTTGTTCGTTCCTTTTCCTTTTCGTCAACGTCTAATATTTTTGTCGTCAAATATGACCACTTTGCTCTGAATATCACATTTTAAATTCTTTCACTCATCCAATATAGAAGTAAGTTGTTAATCGGGTCAAAACCTTCCCGAAACTCTAACATCATAGAAGAGACCTATGTAGTAATAAGCACATAACTTTGTGACTTCAGTTACTATTGCTTCAAATAAAAGATGATTTCTACTCAGCTTTTTGAAGAGTTTCATGCGTCGATTACTGAAATGTGACAACGTTTTGTCTAAATTTTACTACACTGAGACAAGTTTGGATTTATTAAATGTGAAATGAGAAAATGAAGGTTTATCAAGTTAGAAGAAAATGTTTGTATGCTACATATGCAGATCCCAACATAGTTGTATTGTTGTCAACATTCATTCTAAATAAGAGTAATAAAAATTTGTGAGCTTACATCTGATCACATTCTTTCATTAAAGAGATGTAACAAATATATTTGTCAGCTTCTAATGAAGATATTAAGTTATACAGTTTTCGCATAATTTGGATAAAGATTTTGATTATTGTCTAGTTTATACTTTTTTATTATTTTAATTTATTCGTTGTTTTAGAGAAAGTTATTTGACTATTATTGTGAGCAAGGTGATGGCTGCGGTGATAAATGCTCGACCAAGTTCATCTACGCAAAGTAGTATGGGAACTGGGAAGCCGGGTTACTTTCATTGTTTGCTTTTACGTTGTGCCTCCATTAGATCAAGAACAAAATTTTTCATACTTTGTGCACTAGTGTAGTAGCATTTTTATATTTTTTGTACCCATTAATGTAGATATGTGTACAAGTTTTGCAGAAATATAAAATCACAAATTATTATTTATTTATCTGATTATTTCTAACCATTTATTATTATTTATTTTTATAACTATTTAGTATTGCTGCATAAAATCGAGGGACATATATCACGCGTAAATGGAGTTCACTTATTAAGCACTGAAGAAGGGGCTCTGACAATTAGTGATGATCGAACTTTGCGCATCTATCTCAAGCGTGATAACGGTCAATTTTGGCCATCTATCCATCATTTCCTGGCATTTACAGCAACTTCGATGTATTTTGAAGAGGACAGGCATAAGTATAAAGCTTCCTAATTTTTTTTTCCCGACAATTATTATGCGAACATTTAAAAGAGAAAACTTACCGTTTGCAAATGACTGCTGAACGGATAAGCAAATCTGAACTGATAAAATAAAATTTTTCACAAAATGCTCACGATGTCGTTTATGCATCTTTTTTAAGCATTTTTTTATTCAGTAATAATTAATCTAATGTTCCTGTATTTCGTAGGTTGTTTGTTGGTCTTATCAATGGAAGTGTTTATGAATACAAAATAGCAGATGACATGAATAGTTTATCAGAGCAACGTCACTGGATGGCACATTTAAGTATTGTTACCGCTGTGTTATATTCACTGGGGACCGCTTTAATTTTCAGTTGCAGTAAAGACAAAACTGTTGTTTGGCATTGTTCAGAAACATCTGTAAAAATGGGTACGAGTTTTGAGTACATTATTTTTATTTGCACTTTCTTTGATTCTTCTAATAATAAATATATCATTGGACACAATCTGCATTTAAGCGTGCCTCATTTATTCCTTTTCAGTCTTAAATTTTGGCTGGCATACATTATACAAATACTAGTATTTTGTCTACATGTTTCTACGTCATAAAAGTCCAAATATGTCTACAACCGATTTTTGAAACAATTATAAACTTAAAATTCCTAAACAGGCTGGAGAATCTGTACAATTTATTTTTTTAGAGATTTTGTTTTGTTGGAGTAGTAATAAGTACGATTCTTTTTACTTATTAATTCATTCATACTTATGTTTTTTATTTTATAAGTGGAACCGCAAGTTGTATCTTACTCGAATTTTCCTGAAAATAGTCTTTATTTAAAATTATGATAGTTTTGTAGATGAGTGTTTTTTGTTAAGTGGGTTTCGTAAGTAGTAATGTCTGGAAGATAAATTGTTTGGAACTCAAAAATATAATGTCACTAAACTTTGATTAATATAGTCGTTATCAGTTCGTTCTTACAGGTTCGTATACAGGAGAGTCGGGCTTTACTGCTCTAGAATTCGATATGCCTTCGAAATTCATTTTTTTAGGGAATACTGACGGCAGTGTTATTTTGTTGCGTTTAAATGACTCAGAAGCAAGTCTCGTTACCAAAATATCTGCCCATACAAGTAAGTTGCCGTAATAAGGGTTACTCTACAAATTTTTTTGTGCTGCAAAGCAGTCTATATGCAGTTTCAGTTTTTCGTCATCAGTTCTTTATCCTACAAGATTTTTATTTTTTTTTAAATTTTTTATTAGAAAATAGGTGATCGCTTAGTGTAATTAGAAAAGGAGATCACTGGCTGCAATGTTATCTTTTAAAAACTTAATTGTAGAGTATTGTTTTATAGATTTTTAATTATGACTTATTCATGCCTCAAGAAGCAGCATTGGTGGGCCTAGTTTATTTAGTCCAATAAAATGTTTTCTATCCATCTTTGATTAATAAAACTTACGTAATGAAATCTATTAATAATGTCCTGTAACATCACTTACTTTATTATAAGATGCCGTAACATCACTGGCTTGGGATTCAGAACGTCAACTGTTATTCTCAGGAGCATCTGATCACCTTGTTATTATGTGGGATATTGGTGGGAAGAAAGGGCAGGCATTTGAGCTAAAGTGAGTTTACTCGAGCTACTAGTTACTCGTATTTTGTGATATTTGAAAATTTTTCTAGTCAGTGCTGATTATCATACATCTTAAAAAAATTCTTACATGAGCCTCGTGAGTTATGAGCTTTATATGGTTTTCAATAGAAATGCGGTGTGCTGCGAAACTTGTCTTTTTTTGTTTATTTAGATTTTATTAGATTGAAGAAGTTTCTACGTATAATTAATGTGATAATGCAACTGTTCCACTTGGTTCTCTGTTTTCTTCCAGAGAAGTAATATTAATTAATCTATCTGTCAACTTTTCGAATTAATGCTTTATTTCATTTAATGCAGATGTCTCGTAATAAATTTTAGTGCTCACAACAATAAGTTGACATGTTTGCAATACGCGCAGCGTGGGAAAAGACTTTTTTCGGCAGATGAAAACGGGACTTTAGTTTGTTGGGATATGATAGCGAAACGTTTAGAAACACCGGAATGGAAAAAAAGTGATAATTGCCAGTTATGCGATTCACCATTTTTCTGGAACATACGGGAAATGTGGGAAAAGAAAGTAAACCTTATTTTCTATGTATTCAGCCTGATCCGCTGATAGTGCTATGCATATTTGAAATGATTCATGTATTTACAGTCTTTTTTGTGTTTACTCTAAAAATTATGTTAATTATCAGGTGGTAGGGTTGCGTCAGCATCATTGTCGTACATGTGGGAACGCTGTATGTGGAAACTGTTGTAACTATACTACGAAATATCCCCCAATGGGCTACGAATTACCGGTCAGAATATGCAACGCTTGTTATTCACGAATGCAGCAGTTCCCTGACCAGTTTGAGCAAGTTTAATTATTTATTTTTTTTCATGTGAAATTTTGTATTTCCTAGAAACCTTGTATTTGACTGTATCTAGATAGTCATAATTACTTGTACTAACATAATTGCAGTATTCACTGGCAATCTTCCCCATTCATTATTTGAGGACTGCTTTTATGAATTCCCCATTAATTGCAGTCTGACTTCGTTAGCAGTGATTTCTGAACTTCGCGAAGGTGTCACGTGCATGCATTTGCAAGAATCAAGTGGCCGTCTTGTTACAGCTGGTTCTGATCGCGTTCTTATGATTTGGGATGTCAAGCAGTTGGTCTAAACATGTATATGATTCTTTTCATGACTGTTCATCCTTAATGCCTTGGTTTTTGCAGGTGATGTTTGCTACGAAACATAATTTATAAGTCTCTTCTCTTTTTTTAGAGCATAACTTTTTGGCTGTCTTAATGATCTATAGTGTTAGAATACATAAAGTTACCAGAAGTCAATTTTAAATTTAGGTTTTAAAATTTAAAACAATTATGGAAGATTTGGAACTTAGAATTAATAAACTTTGCATTCGTGAGAGAAGTCTTCCTTCATTGTAAAAATTTCAAAGTGCATGGTGTCTCAGGTCGTACAAATTTTGAATATTTGAGGGAAAGTAGCAAAATTCTTAACTCAGTTGTGAACTGTCGTATTCCTCAAAAATTTTTCTTTCGATACCTAGTCTCTTTATACTGAACATCTTATGTATTATGCTACGAATGTGTACCACAATAATGATGCAATGTTACCATATCACTGTTCCAAATCTATGATTTTGTCTGGTACTGTACAGTATAATCTGTCGCTGAACATGGAGAGTTGGCTTGCTTCAGCAGTAACTGAAACATGGAAGAATTAATACTCATTGTTCCGGTCTGCTTCATTTGACGATTGTATAAAGCTTGGCTTCAAAATTTTTGTAGTTTGGGAAACAAGATAATAAACCGTGACTCGTCCGTACTGTCCCAATGATTGAGAATGTGATTCTTCATCTTCCACATATCAAAAATATCATGCAATATAACTCTACTCCCACGTCTCAAGGTGACAACTTAAGGTTTGTTTATAATGTCGACAGCAGCTCCAATTTCTTACGTGATTGCTGAATACGCGGTTTATGCCGCATCCTCAACTCGGTATTTATGCATCTCTCCATAGCGGTGTCTGAGGTTTGCCTTCATAACCTTCAGGAAGTAGCGTATGCGTTTAGTTCGTAAAAAAATTTAGTTCAAGCCAGGTTGTAAACTGACCAGAACAGCTATTTGCACCATACAATTATGTAGACAAAGTAAAGATTCATAACAATTGCATAGATCTTTCAACAATATAATACAAATATGTTGGTATATATGTACATAGTAACAAACATAGCGTCCGATAAAATATTTCAATTTTAAAACTCTCCAGATGAGGCACAATTGCCTTCTTCCTGATTTAATTTTTTATTTCGTTCGTTTTGAATTGCTGTCAATTTTTCAATATGATCTTTCGCTGATCTCACAAAAATGCTGCGATGGATCACCATATTTATTTTCCCCGGCAGAACGATGCGATTACCTAGAAAAATGTAACAAGTGTTTTGTGCAAAAGTGCTTCGAATTTTCCTTAATTGTTTTAAGTGCATGTCTTACATTTACTAACCTAGATTTGTCATGCATTACCTTTCAAAAATTTTCATCCTAGAATAAGATACCTGAGTTTTTTTCAAAGGTACCACTTCTTAAAAGATTCATACGATGCATGAAAATCACTGCAAATCCAGTCATAAAAGAATCCACGCCGGCACGATGGCAGTCTAGAAATTATCGAGCAGTTTTTTCAAAAATAAAATTCTAGATCCAGACAAAATATAAACAAATATAAAACAACTTAAACAAAAATAGTATTCCGAGCAATCACTTCATATAGTCTTGCTTCTTTATCTTCAGAAATTAGCGTTAGTATTTTCATTAATTGAACCAAAAAAAGTTGTTAGTTAATCTTTCAATCGAAAAAAAGGATGACACAACGAATGTAAGTCTAAAACCAGAAAGTGCGTGCGGTAGGCTCCCTGACGGATTTGAATCTATAACAGATTGACTTGAGTGCAATGCACATTGTTCTGACTGATTTAAAAGATTTGAAGCCAATGAACACTCCGAGATATCATTTTTTGACTCTTTATTTTCAACCACTGGAGCCGAGCCATTTAATGAACCATTTGTCGTTGCTAATTTTGATTCATAATCGTAGCGTCTTTTCCGTCTTTTACGAATCTGAAAGTATTAAACCACGAAATTTACTATATTTTGAATGAAATAATATGAAAGAGCATAACACAATTTTGTACGAATTCAGCACACAAACTCACAACCAAATATCTCAAAGATCAAACTCTACAAGTAAAAATGAAGACAAAAACCCATCGAGTTATATCGTCCCACATGCAAACAATTATTATTACTCAAAAAAAGCTTAGAATAAAAAAACTTTACAACCATTTTACAATAAACCTGCCTTTGACTGTTTTTCATCTTCCAGGCTCAGTAAGATATCGACATCATGTAGAAATGGACATACTTCGCTGTTGCAAAACTTATATTGCTACAAAAAATTACATACATTGTAGATAGAACAACGATGTCGGTTTGCGCACATGATATGTTACTTTGTTAATCTGGATTTAGCTTCACAAGAAAATAGAAACAGTGGAATCAAATGCTCCCAAATTCCATCTTTTCGAATAAAAAGAATTTTATAAGTAAGAATTTTAAAAAATT